AAAATATTCACCGTAAGAGAAAATTTGGTATTTTAAAGATTCTTATGTGATGCTCCTTTATTACAAAGACTATTCATTTCCCCAGTGTACATCATATTTTCGTTGTTTTATCATTTTTGACTATTGATTTTATAGGCTTTCTTTTTTATGTAAAATAAATTTATGTAACTTTACTGAACAGAAATAAAAATAAAGAACAAAATGCAGCCATAATGGCAAGATTTATGGACCAAACTTGAAAATTCCCAAACAGTTCATAGTCATGCAACTTCATAAAATGTTTTATAATTAAATAAAATATTTGAAGCTTGATATTTTTATGTCTTAATTTTATCCTCAGAAATTCTCATGAAAATATTTATCATTTTATTTTTTAACATTTAATGCTAAAATATTTTGGTTTATATTAAGTTTGTTTATATTTGCAGCCATAATCGTGCAAATGATAGATCATTTATGGCCTCAATGAATAAATTATCGAAAACATAATTTGGATGTCTTCCCTTGAAAATAAAGTCCCACTAAGGGTTCCTCAAAGGGCAGTTTCAATTAAGTATAGAGCTACCCTGTGACTTCCCTCCTCCTTCTTTGGCTATGATTGTATCCAGCCAATAACTATTTAGTTGGTGTTTCCTTCCCTGGCTAAAAAAAGAAAAAAAGAGAACAAATGGTCATAGTCAGTCTGTAAACTAGAGATATTCATATGTGGAGGTGGAAAACTTGAGCCCTCCCAACCTATACAAAGGTAAATCAAAATGGATCAAAGACTGCAAGGCAAAACCTGATATTAAAACTACCAGAAGAAAACACTGGGGAAACATATTAAGCCATAAATGTAGGCAAAACTTTTCTTTGGATAACACTCCAAAAGTAAAAGAAATAGAAACAAAAACAAACAAATGGAATTATGTTAAACTAAAAGATTTTCCTCGGCAAAGAAAACCATCAAAAGAGTGAAAAGACAGCACAATTAAAATAGACAGAGGATACAGATACTTCTAAAAGGAAAAAATTCCAATGGCCAACAAATTTATGAAAAAGTGCTTAATTTCAATACTTGTCTGGGGATTGCAAGTCAAAACCACTATGAGCCAAGTACAGTGGCACTTGCCTGTAATCCCAGAGGTAGGGGAGTCTGAGGCAGGGGGACAGCAGTTTCAAAGCCAGCCTTAGCAACTTAGAGAAACCCTAAGCAACTGAGCAAGACCCTGTCTAAAAAGAACTGGGGATGTGGCTCAGTGGATAAGTGCCCTGAGGTTCAATCCCCAGTACCAAAACAAAACAAAAACAAACAAACACACAATAAGGTATCACTTAACCTAGTTGCACTGGCTTTTATCAAAAAGCCAAAAAGAAACAAATGCATGCAAGAATGAGAAGAGAAAATTCTCCTCATTCTTTTTACAACACCTAAGAAGAAGAACATATGTTTCTCAAAAAACTAAAAATAGATCTATCATATTATCCAACTATACCATTTTTAGGGATCTATCCAAAGAGAAATATTCCAGTATAATGAAGAAAAATACATAATCGATGTTTGTTATTACAATAGCTGGAGTCAAAATATGCTCATCAACAGATGAATGGTAGGGAGAACATGGCATATATACCAATGGAATATTATTCAGCCATACAAAAACATGTTATCCCACCATATGTAGCAAAATGAATGGAAATGTGGAACATTATGGTAAGTCAGACAAAGACAAATACCACGTTTTCCTCAAATGAGGGTGTTTAAATAAAAGTCAATGAGAATGTAGAATAGTGATTATGAGAGGCTGGGAAATAAGGAGGATAGAGGGCTTTCTGGGAAGTTGGATACCAGGTATCCGTGTGCAATTAAAGAGAAGTAATAAGTTCTGCAGAAGGTGAGATGGCTATGTTTTACAATACCCTTCTATGTATTTTATGAAAAACTAAAAGAGAGAAGCTCCAAAGTCTCCCACTGAAACAATGATAAGAAGATGGAAAAATTAATTAGGGTTAGTTATCTTGATTTGATCATTACACACTGCATACATGTATGAAAATGTCACACTGTACCCCATATTTGTACAAAGTAACAATCTAAAAACAAAAAGTTAGTGATCTGGGGTACAGTGATCATCAAAAAGAGCTAAAGTCAAATCCAAAACAAGGAAATGACAGAGAAAATAATAAGTTCAAAAATTATAAGTGTAATCTAGTCACAGGAAGAAGAATAGAGGATACACACAAAACAGTGATTATACTTTTTGCCGTCTAAGATGGAGTAATTTTCTTCTGTCCCTGGTAAACTTCAATCCTCCTGAAAACACATTGACTTTCTTTCTATTGTGTTAATATTTTAATATTCTCAGCCTATAAAACTTGAGTTCATCTTAAGGTATTTTATGCTTTCCTTATAAGCTAAAAATCTTTGATTAAAATAATATTTTTTCAAAAGAATCACTGTATGTCAAGGATTCAGTGGAACATTTTACACTAAACAATTTCTGGAACAATTTTCAAAATCAAAAATGTTAAAAGAATTTCTAATTTGGTGATAATAATATGGAGCCTAGGCTGTTGTTCATAGGGTTAAACACTGATTTTTGGTTCTGTTTGGCTATTCAGAGCATTCATATTTTTATTATGATTCATTACAGTCCTTAAAATGAACAGTCCAAAGAATATTGGCCACAATCCAAAGGATTATATTTCAGGTAAATGCCCTATATTTTAAAAGAAACTATAATAGTTTGGTATTAATTCATAATAATATAATTTATAACGTGTTAATATTTAGCCTTTGAATTAAATGAATTAATGATTTATATTTTAAATTAAATAAAATTTAACACATGTAAATATATGTATGTAAATATTACATTATTGATATATTATGCTCATACTGGAGAGCACTATTTATAAATGAAGTCTATATAAGAGAAAAAGGCACTCATACTTTTCTCAAATGAATTACATGCTAGTTGTTTTTTGTTTTTGTTTTCTTAGAAAGCATTGTGACCTAGGATCATTGAGGTAAATAATCAAGAAAGAAACACCTTATTTCAACTCAATACAATAAAGTAAAAATAACAGCTCTTCAAGAAGAGCGAATTTTCACATGCTTAAACAATATTATTATTTCATTTCATATATTGTAGTAAGTTAGCAGTGTTGATGTGTAAGTGTGTAGATATAATTAGTTAGCAGTTAGTCAACTGCATGTAAGTAACTATACCAGTAATTTAATGAAGGTAAGTGAGCTATCTTCATTTTTTTTTAAGTGAAAAAGTATACAAAGATGCTTCTACAAAAATTCTCATTGTGGCATTTTTGTAATCACAAAAACTGCAAACAAACTTGATGTTAAAATAAAAGATTGGTTTAAGAAATATAGCCAGGTGGTAGATCTGGCTTCCTGGTACAGCATATTTCTATCACATGAAAGGTACTTGGTTTAATCTCTAGCACGCGCATGCACACACCCACACATACACACACGCACACACACACATACACACACAAACACACACACACACACTATACCTAATTTTTCTCTCCACAAAAACTATCTAGCTATTAAAATGTTGATGGAAATATACATTCATTCACATGGAAGTATGTGTATCATGAGTTACATGAAAATCAGGCTGAAAGCGTATGATCCAATTATAATTAGTTAGTATTAAATATATGTACATGTATGCTTAAAATAACATGTGGTAGGATAAATACTAAATGTTATTGTCCCTAGTTGGCAAAAAAAAAAAAATCACACATAAGCTTTTTATTTTCTCGTATGTTTTCCATATGCTTATATTATTTTAAAATTGTATAAAATAAAAATTTCCAGTTGCAATTAGATTTGCAATAAAAGCACTAATTTACCTCACTAACTGTCTAGCAGCAGTGGTCTAAATTTGAACCAAATTTTCAGGAAACACATGTGCATTGGGTTAAGGATTTTCTGAATAAAAGGTCTTGCACTTTGATGATTGATGTGCTGACAGCACTGTGGCTACAGAATCAAAATTCACAAAAATTCAGAGTAGTAAAGAACATATTAATCCACACTAAAATAAGGGGTAAATTGACGTTTATTAAAGAGTCCACATTTTAGACATGAAGATTAAGGAATCATATTCTTCAAACCTTCTGTAAAGTGGATTGTAAATCTTGACCAATGCTGTGAGGTAATTCAGGCTCATTAAAATGAAAACCTGATGTTTAGGTTCCATAAACTGGGAATTTGGGGATAGGCATGTTTAGAAATACTCTTGAAATGTCTAGATCCCTATCCATTAATTACTGGTCATGATCCACTCACCCTCACTTCCCTTCTCTGCCCACAAGAAATCTGGGCATGCATATGAAAACAGAGTAACATATAGGAGCTACTTAAATCTACTCAAGTTTTTTCCATCTTCTTCAAAAGCGAGTCATTGAGCAACTTTGATAATTTAGCTGTTCTTAAGAACAAAATACTTAAGTCATGCTGCTAGAGACCTACTCGACTAGGACAGCACAGGAAATTTGTTCACTTTCTTTTGCTCTTCTGACAGCCACGTAAGCACATTGTCAAATCCTTTTACCAAGGCTTAGAACTTGCAAGACAGTAACTATGAGGGCACCCTCCAAATTTCTGTCCTCAGTGCCACAGCTGTGTGGCATTCTTATATTTTGCCATTGTTAGAGAGATGGATTATAGCCATGCCTGTCCTAGTCTGCCATTACCACCTCCATATTACATGCATTCTATTCTCTTCTTGTTCAGAAATCTGACAAGCTTCCAGGATATTAAAAGGAAAATTTAATGGTTCTCTCAGACACAGATGCTCCTTTCCTTTCTCATGGTTCTTTCAAGTAGTTAATTTTTTTTATTCAAATATGCAGGAAATAAATTTAATTTATATAAAGAAAATCAAAATTGTATTAACAAACATATGTAGACAGTTAAATGATAATAAAGTTATAACACAGGGACAAAATTAAAAAAAAAAAAAACAAATAAACAAACAGACACTAACATCTCTGTCCAGAACTCTGCCTGTGCTGTTCAGGAAAAGCATTTGTTTAACAGGATCCAATAACACCCAGTAATCCACGTTGTCCTTTAAAGAGAGTTCTATGGTGGGGTCTGGTCCTCCAGCAGTCCCTTTTATCAGCATGTTGTCCACCAGAATCGTACCTGCAAACCAAAGAAAGTTATTTGAAACTACATTCTATGCATATGCATTCTTTAGCAAAGATTATGTTCTTAAACCACATTTTAAAGCATAAAATATTCAATGCATTCTTTAGCAAAGATTATGTTCTTAAACCACTTTTTAAAGCATAAAATATTCAACTGTACATCTAACATAGAAAACTTTCTACTGTCAAAAAGGCAAAAAATACCTTCATTATACTATTTATAAATGATTTTGTGGGGAGATGAAGATGGGAGGAAGAGATTCAAACACTTGGTGAGTCTCATCATCTACTTCTTGTTTCCTTTTAACAGGAATCTCATCTCTTCTCTGTCCATCACTTCTCACGGGAGTTATCATTAAATTTTATCCTGAACAAAAGGAAATGCCTGTAATACCAGTCTGATACTTCAATTCACTCAGTAAGACTTCTGATATGAAAAGAGATATCGTAAAAATAAGATAGAGGAAGAGAACGGAAGAGATAAAGCAGCAGCAGTGTCTCCCAGGGTGAGAATGGCATCTTTTTTCTTTTATCTTAAAGCAAATCCATAAAACATAAATCTTAATGTGAAAGACAAAACTAGTGTGCAGACACACAATAGAAGCCATTCTTCTTGAAGACATATCTGGGTTACTCGACTAGAACAACAGGCTATTCCAATGTAACATTTTGATACTTGCTTCCTTATTATATTTTCAGCAGGCTGAATTGTAGACACTTCTTGAATAAGAGTTGAAAAGAGAGTAAGTCTCTGATCTTTCCTACTTGTTAAAGATTCCAAGCATTTTACAAGTTGAATGTAAATGGCATTGATGTAACTAAAATCTCATCCCCCTCACCCACAACCCCACCCCCAGCAATGATCTCTTTCCCAAACAATAATGTACTATGGCTTATGGCAATCATTTTCAACTGATCCATTTTATTAAACTTATGGCTTTAGAAAGGATGTGGCTATGCAAATAAAAATGTACTCTCCTAAAGACAGTAGAATAAATCGCAAATATCTATAAAACTCCTTGCCTTAGAATAGCAAACAAGGATATATAGATAATCCATAAATATGAATCTGGATTAAAGAATATGATGGAAAATCTAAGAGCCTTGTTTTCTTTAGGTATAAATTTGTTCAAATGTTATTTGGTTACATAGCTACCAAAAAGAAAGGGAATTTCTTTGTAAGATATTCCAAGTAATTAAATAAAAATAACTGTCTATTGTACTTCCAGGAAATTTTCTAAGAAATTTGATAAGAAGACATTCTTTTTTATAATGGATCAACCAACCTAAATAATATTTAAACTCAAACTCTCTCTCACACACACATATACACATATACCTTTCTAAATGACGGAAATTTTCCTTTTAGTTTTTATTTGCTGGCATGTAAAAATGTAAATATTGAGTGAAACCTGTCTTACTAGCTTATGACTTACCTGGTAAATGAATAACCTTCAGACAATACACCCCAAAGTACAAGTCAGATGTTGATGTCATTTTCTGACCTACTGTAAGTCTGTCCAAATATATGCTCAGGGCCCCAGTACACACATATTTGCAAATATTTTATACAACTCATCTTTGAAAAATTATTCAGTCAACTTCCAGATATAATTAAGAAGAGAAAAGGAACTCTATTTTCTGATTTTAAAAAAAGAAACACATAGTAGGAAAAACAACTAATGTTAATTTTTATACCTTGACTCAGTGAGTAAGAATAGCAACAGCAAGCTTCTCTATAATGTACACATATACCAAATGGGAACACCAAGGCACAGGCATTGAGCTCTCCTTTGTAAACAAAGATAGAAAAGATTGTAATACCAATCTTCACTTCTACTAAAGCAATGAAACAAAAACATTCTATCTGGACTTACAATTTATTTAATTAGGTTTGAAAATTTCAGGGAGATTTAAATATTTATCTTGCTCTCCAAACTCCACTATGTCCTTCAATGATTGAAACTCAGCAGTGTTTCTACTGCTACTAAGCTAAAAAGAAAAGCATTATGTGATTTTTGTTTTTATTCTCACCATTCATACTGACAAAAATCTCTGGAGACTTTCATATGCCATACTGCCCTAGATCAATAGTCGAAGAAAAGAAGAAACACAAGGATCATTCACGCTTAATGCAAGGATCAATGTTTCTTTTTTAAGATTAACCTAGGTGTCCACCCTCTGGCCTAGACAACACTGTTCTTCTGCCTATTTACCCCTGTGATTAGAAAAACAGGTAGCATCCAAGCTGAACTTAATCTTAAACCAGAAATTTGTCACCCTTTTCCACCCTAGAATGGGGAATGTTTCTTCCCAGAGGTTTCTAAATGTCTAGATTTGGGCAGCTCATGTTATAACCCAGTGCAGGTGAGTAGCTGACCAGCAGTATAACTTAGGCATATTGGGACAATATGCCAATATGCCTAAGTTATACTTTAATTCCTCTCTTGCTTGCAAGCTTCCCTCTATACAAAACCTCTTTTTTATTCCCTCACATGTGATATTTAAATTACATTCCCAGCCTTAACTTCAATCTAAATATGAAGACAGATAGGATACACAGTGCAACACAAATAAGACAGCTGAGTGTTTCTAATATTATAGGGATAAAATGGCATATTCTGTGACCATAAGGCAATCCACTGAAACGAGAGTTGAAATGAGGAAAAACAGGACTCGGACAATAATTAATTTGATAGTGTAGGAATTCTGTAATAAAAAAAAAAATTCTTGGAGAACTGGAATAAAGAGAAAAGCTTCAATTAGTACATAGAAGGAAATACTGGACTTGAACCAGAACAGCCACAGATGCTCCTTCAGGTGTCATTCATTTGCCCAGAATCTCCCAAATAGGCTTTCCACACTCAGTAAAGGGACAATTTGTCAAATAGTAACAGCTATGTAATGGCTAGGCCTTGTGGCCTGCCTTCCACATAGAAAGGGGATTAAAATAAATCTAATGGGATCCTCTTCCTTTCTCCTCAGTTATATCTATATAACTTGCAAACAGATTAACTCTGAATTCATCTAACCTTCTTATTACCTTAGTATTAACTTCCTTATCACCCAATTATTTAATTTTTTCTTTCATTTGATAAATACATTCTCAGAAATAGATAAATAAATAAATAATAGAAGCAATTAGTGCTGACCTTGAAGAAACCTGCCTTGAAGAATAGGTGATACCAAAGACTGGACTTTCTTTACGTGCAGATTTTCTTTCATCATAACAGAAGTGTTGGTTATTAGGACAAAGAAATTGAATTAACTTATATTTATATCACATGAGTTAAGACAGATGACTCTAGAATTGATATGCTTAGAATCCATCCTTGCTGTTCACTTCCAGCTATGTGAAAAAGGATAGATTATCCACAATTCTCTCGTTATATGAAATCAGTACCATAACTGAAAAGGTATCCCTACTATAATAGCATATATACATTCCTGGGAAGGACCTGTATTCTTATATCTAGAATAGTAACAAAAACTAAAATAATCATAATTGCAATAAAAATGTTATCACTGTTATATGTTTTAGTGGTATTTTAGGCATGTATCACAGTTATTGAAATGTGTGTTTCTATTTCAAATAACGGAGAATAACTTGCTATTAATTAGATATGTTTAATCCGATTTAAACTTTATAGAATACATACATGTACTAAACATTACATGGTAATGCAATTACCACTAACATGTATATTTTTATATTTTTATGAGTCATTTAAAAGTTAATTTAAATTTAAAAAAGAAAAAGAAAAAGAAAAAAATGAAAACTTCATATGTCATTAATCTTTATTAGTCTGTTATTTTATTTAGGACAAATAAAGCTGCAGCTCAGTGATCTGTACTCCAGACTCTCTAGAGAGTTTAACCTATCATCAATGATACTTGTTCATGTAGCCATTCAGGAAGACTTTACTTTCACTAAACAAAGGTGCACCAATAGATTTTCACATTTTTCCCTTTAAGATCTTCTCACATAGAAAAATTTTTCTTTTTAATTAGGAAAAA